TGTCTACGCCTCCGCCTTGTGGTTGGATTTTTGTTGAAATAGTTTTTTGGGGTCCCCGGCTAGTGAGACTCTTGGGAAGGCGTAGAACGTTGTAATGTTGAGAACACTAATTAATATTTGACGAACTTATTAGCTTTCTTTTGTTTTATGCGAATTCTTTTTTGGGTTGAGACTTTTTGTAAAAAAGTCACAAAAACTTTCGTAGAATAAATAAAAGTCGGATTTATGGATTTAATGTGGCCCGAGATTCAGTTGTCGATTCGTTTGGTGGAGCGCGGTGTAATGTGGCTGACTAAAACAACTAAAGATTCGAAAACTCAAAAATAAATGCAACTGCCGAACTAGTGCTATAATTGCTACTGACTGCTGTATGACGACCGCGAGGTGGTCTAATTAATTTTGGTCGGACGGGGGACTGAACGCCGTTCGCCGCTGCCTGCGACGTTCTGTAGGGCCCCCTGCACGGAGCGATTTGTGCTCGTTTTACATTAGAATTAATGTAAAATCCTTGGTTCGGTGACAATACTAACTAATTAAAGGGTAAACTTTTGGAATACGCAAAAAAAAAATTACTGAATGGGCCTATTGGGGGTAGGTTTTGTTTAAGTTTGTTATTATGTCCAGTTTAAATGTGGTTACTAATTCATCGAAAGAAACAATATTTCAGGAAACCAACAAATTTATTTTTAATAGTACAAAATTGCTGCTAAAAATGAACTTATTCTAATTTTTTTTGTTTTTTTTTTTAATATAAAACCAAACCAAAAAGTGTTTAGATTTTAAAATTTTTAAAATGAAACTAAAAAATGTTCAGGTTTTTTGAAATTTTATATCGGCAGATTGTGTGACCTTTTTTTTTTAGAAAAAAGGTCTGTGGAGCTTGCAACCCTGGGCCTGACCATAGGTTAATCGGGCCCTGGATATTTTAGCATTTTTTTTTTGTTTAATTGTTGGCTGCAAATATTCTGAAACGTGACAAAACAATTCTATTTGTCTTCATCAAAAAGGTGCTAAAAAGTACCTACAGAATTATTTTTCTTGCTGTATATGTATTTAAATAAATTCCGAAAGTGCTCATAAAATGAATTAACTTGGTTTTATTTAATGGCAAAGTTGCTTTAAAAATTATTGATCGATATATTGGAATCTGTTTCAATAAACACATGCCTATATTTTTGTGCATTTTTTTAAGGTAAATAAAGCCACTTCCTTATTACTCTTTTTTAAAAATATTTTTACAATATTTTTTATAACGAATGACAAATTTTGTGAAGTAATGCTACTTACATTTTGTAAGATTAACCTGATACATCATAAAAAGTTTACTAAATATATGTCCCTGCTTTTCTAAATCTGCCTCTGTTACTTGTGTATGTATCCAAAATGGCCGAGACCCAATAATGAATTTCACTCAATATCTTTGCAGTTAGAAGTTATTTTTTAAAAAGACTGAAAATATATTGAAGAAAACTGTAAATAAATAGAAATACAGAATTTTAATATATCTTACATAGCACAGTGCCATGCAGCCAGACCAGTCAGCATCTAAAGTCAGTGTTTTAACTTTAACATCAAGAAACTTCCAGAAAGCAATTTTCAAGATTTCTAACAGACTTGTGTAGTCAGTCATTGAATTTCATTGCACCATAACCCCATAAATTCATAACCCCGTAGCCTGTTACTTGAACAATTTTGATGAAACTCATGATCACTGATTGTATAGGAAGGGAGGTACTATTACATTTTTTTAGTATAGATACAAAGAAAAAAACCTGGGATGACTTCGTAAAACAAATGTGTTTTCCTAAGATCACGTATATACAGGACCTTGCATGCTGGGTTAAGGCTTTACAACAGGAATGCAGACTCAATTTCTCAGTTTCATGGTTATAGAGTTATGGGGTTATTGGGTTATGAAAGCCTGCCAACTTAGTCGTATAGTTTCGGACACCTGGTGTATGAGATTCATGTTTCCACGGTTATGTAATCTTTGCACACTCCGGGTTACAGGGTTATGGGATTAGGGCAGCCTGCCAACCCAGTCTTGTAGTTTTGGACCCCTGATCTATGGGAATTTTTCACAGAGTATCATGGTTTTTAAACTCATAAATCCCAGGTTATCGGTTTATGGGTTTATGGGGTTATAGGATTATGGTGCAATGAGATCCTAATTTCAAATGTTTTTCCATTCACTAACTATTTCAGTCAGTTTGAAATTTTGAAAATTGCTTTCTAGAGGAGTATCTTCAGGGTATGGTCAAAACACAAACTGATCAGGATTATGTCTTATGTCAACTTCAAACACATTATCTCGGAGAGATTACTTGTGGGAACTTGACGTGGTATACTTTTATAATTAGAAAATGTAGAGAAAAATACTTCTTCATAAATTATTAACAACGTACTTGGTGCAAAAAAAAACATATAATATTGTGAAAACGTGAAATGAAACAGAGCCCTCTACAAATTACTTAAAAAATTTGAATTTCTCTTCCCAAAATATCTTTGGTTACAAATTCTATGTCAATATTTGAGGTTCCTTAAAAGTCATTTAAGAACATTAAAAATAAAAATTTGACACCCTGCATCTTTATTATCATCTTTTACCCTATGAGAAGTTAAGGTGAATCAATTTATTTTGATCAAAATAAATAGTCCCAAGGTATGGCCAACTCTTTAGCAAACACTATATTATCATAAATATTTTTAGATTGCTATTCGTGCAGATCAAGAAGTATATACTTGGGGAGCAAGTCCTCAAGAAGTACGTATATTTCAGTCAAAAAATAATCAGAAACAGAATGGCCTTTCCATAAAATCTCCTGATTCATGGAAAGCAAGTGTCCATATTTATTCTGGGGTGCACAAGAAACCCATTGAACATGTTGCTGTAGGTTATAGACATTCTGCTATTTTACACAACGGAAAAATTTTATGGGGAAAAAACAAAGACGATGAACTTAGTCCCCCTAAATTGAGAGATCAGGACAACATGAATAATATGTTTAATCAACGATTCTTGCATGTTTCTTGTGGTCTAGATTACACAATGGCCATTGACCATACAGGGAAGCTATTAGCCTGGGGAAGTCCTTCTATGGCACAGGTTAGTTTTTAACTTAGTACCTATATTGCCTATGATAGTTTATACATGGTATGACCCATTGAGATTCTCTAATTTTTTTTATTAAAAACTTATTACACAGTTTTAATCAATATAATAATTTAAAACCCCTCTCAAATTTTATTATAATTTATAATGCAAAATATATTTTTTTTATAGGCATGTAAAATTATCATTTTTAATCAGCAATTTTTTCTTAAATAAAAATAATAAAAAATAATTTTGCCTAACAAAAAATCTGAGATTTTTAGTTGGGAAAACTATTCTTATAAAAAATAACTCTTGACCGATCCTTTTGGCACAAGGGTTTATTTCATATACTTTGGGGTCGTCCATTAATCACGTGAGGTTTTTAGGCCACTTTTTTACACCCTCCCTCCCCCCTGGTGATATGTGGTGAGGTTGTAACCTATCTAACATCAAGTGTATTTTTTTTGTTAAAAAAAAAACTTCAATATTTTCAGAACATTTTTTACGAAAATCATTAAAAAAAACAGCAGCGGTTGTCAGCCAGGGTGGGCGGGGTGACGGACGATCTTACAAAGATCGACCATGTCAATAGCACGTACGTTACTTATCGTGATGTCAAATCGTAGCTCACAACAAGGCATTCTCGGGCATGGTTGTGCGAAAATATACACGTGATATGAAGCGACAACCCCCTCCCCCATTGTGAGCAATAATGATGTTATCCAAAGCTCCCCCCTCCCCTATTTAGACCTCATGTGATTAATGGATGACCCCTTTTAATATCTTTTCATGGGTGACAAAATGCCCAAATAAGGAAAAAGTTAAAACTACCACAGCAAAATGTCTATTTATCGACACCTTTTTTTATGAGTTTTACTTTCATGCAATTTGTTCTCAAATTTTTCATAAGAAATACATCTCTTATCAAAAAAAAGAGGTATAGGTCCCAACTCTGTTTTTTCTTGTGTGTAACACTATATTTTTACATAATCCGATACAATGTTTTCTCAGGATCATATTTGTATATTTTGATAGGTTTATCTGTAGATAATGTTAAGAAGATAGAAAGAGATTAAGAACCCTAAGAATTAAATGTTCGAACAAGCTGTAATTTTGACAATAACAGTTAATAATTTCTGACAACCTTAGTATAAACGTATTTTACATTAGTATCTTCATTTTACAAGTATTTCAGATAATAATTTGATAACTATTTTAAAAATAATTAAATATATCTGTAATCCTCTCGCAGTAATATTTTGCTTAGTGCAATGAGCAAATGCATTTAAATTTTTATCTAAAATCTTATGGCCCATTACTTGCAACTTTCTTATAGTATCGATGAAAAATTTGAAACATGCTCTTTTTGTTTAGCATACAATGTGGCATTCCTAGGGAAAAGAAAATAGTGAGGTTATTTGCAAAAAGTTACTATAATAAAATATTTATAGATTTATACATTCTGAAAAATAAAGTTTTCTCAAAATATGTTAAAAACTCTAGAGCAAGTTTGAAAAAAATTACATTTTATTAACTGATTAAATGTGGAAATCTGCTGAATAGATAATACAAATATGTCAAACTAGAAATTCAAGCCGTTAGATAGTTTGGAGCTTCAATCATTTTTAAGCCATTACCAAACTAAAATAACTCATAAAATATAATATATACACATTTCCCGTTTTGTAAAAGAGTTCATAGGATTTTTGTCCTGGAATAAATAGAATAAAAACAATTATTGGAATAGAAATTTTACACTTATTTGATTATTTAAATCGCATTTCTAATAATAAAATCCTTTTTTGGTATAATCATTAAATTTACTGAACTGCTTGGTAAGTTAAAAAATAATACAGAAATGTCAAATTCATTAAATAAAATGGAAGTGATCATTTTTCTTAAAAGTAGCAGAGTTACAAGCTGTTATCGAATTTCCAAAATACCCAATAGCGTTAAATTGTATTCATAAAGATAGTGACTATTGATATCAACACTACTGGTGTCATGTATTTATTTTTATATTCAGCAGATTCATTAAACAGATCATAGCCTATCATCATTATGTCAGTGTATTCAGAAAAATTCAGAAAACGTGTTATTTTGTTCAAATTAGAATATCATGTATCTCGAAAACGAAGAGTTTCAAAACATTCCTTAATAACCCCATATAATAATTTTTTTAGTCGATTGATACTGATATTTAACAAAAAATTACATACAATTCTACCCCTTATCATTTTTGTCCTTATTGCTTAGAAAAAAATTATAAAGATCCAATATTTTTAAAAATTTTAAAGTTATTTCAAAGAATATACGAATGAATATATAAACAAAAATTAATATTGAATTTTAGGGGTATAAAACAATTTGTAGTTTTAATTGGAACATCCTGTACATTTGTGTTTTATTGTAATCCTACTGCTTTTCTGACTACCATATATGCCATATTTTTGTTTTATTTTTTTTTTTTAGTTTATTTACTGACCTGCACAATAGATATACTCAAGATTGAATAGATTACTCAAGAAAAAAATTATAAAAGGTGTTCCATAATACTTTCACCCTGTTCTAGACAATGGAGCACTCCAATGTATTCAAAAGGAATTTTTTTAATGCCTTATGTTATCTCATCTCATTGATAGTACAACTTGCTCAATATTTATTCCTTTAGGTTATATAAATTATTAAATTGTCTTTATTTTATAAATTGCCCTTTTATAAAGAAACTTAGTTAAAAGAATATCCTGTGTCTAGAAACAGACTAGACTATTATAAAATATATTTTTAATCAATAAGTTAAAGATGATATTTATTAAATTTAATAGTAAAAAAGTCTAAACAAACACTGGTTCTATAGCAATCTTGTCTTTGTTCATTCAGTAAATAAACCAAAATATTGTGCGAAGTGACAAAGCAAATACCAGATGTCCCGAAATTAATGCAACAAAATTTGATCACAGATTCTTAAGACAATTAGGAGACCCATATTTTTTATATCTGCCCAGTGGTCTTCTCTTTCAGAGTTACAGCCCCCTGAAATCCGCCCTTAAGAATAGTCTTTTTTTATATCTTGAACCCTGTTGTACGAGAATTACTAAATTTGGTACATAGGGGTTTTATGACATGTGGAATCTGATATTGTTACGTTTTTGGGTGGGGGACGCCCTTAAAATATTTTTTCATTGGTCCCCTTGTCTTTGGAACACAAAAAAATTATTCCACGCATTAGAAAGCCACTGAATTTAGAAACTTTTTTGTCTTTTGATATTCTTGTAAAACGCAATGTTTTTGAGAAAACTGACAAAATGTGATCGAACATATCATGATTTGTATGACATTCTACGTGTTAACCGTAGATTGCTGCTGTTCGCAATTAAAAAACAAATTTATTTATCACTTATCATTAATCAGTTGTCAGATTATAATCTTTTCTGTATTTGTCAAAAAAGTGGAGAGATTTTCCTCAACGTACTCAATGCAGGAAGACTTCGTTTGCTAACACCCTATCAAGAAGGAAATATCTTGAATTTAATTGAAGAAAATTCATGGGCAATATCGATTCCCGATTAACTGTTGGGTTAGAATTGTTGGGTGGCATTGCTCATTGGTCTAAATACAGACATTTTCATTATGTATTAAATAATCCGCATAAAAAAAGTTTTAAATTGTTTTTGTGAAGTTTTTATTAACAATTCGACTCTTAAAATTAAAAATTAGAATTTGATACGAATCACGATAGGCATTCGATCACATTTTACCTTTTTTCTCGAAAACATTGTGTTTTACAAAAAAATATCAAGCGACAAAAAAATTTCTAAATTCAATGGCTTTCTAGAGGATTAATAATTTTTAAGAATTTCAAATATGCAATGAAATTTTTTTGACTTCAAAGACAAGGGGGAGCCCACGAAAAAGTGTCTTAAGCGAGTTGCCAAAAAGCGTAGCACAATCAGATTCCACATGTCATAAAATTCCTATGTACCTAATTTAGTGATTCTGTACAACAGGACTCTGAGATAAAAAAAGACTATTCTTAGGGGCAGATTTCAAGGACCTGTAACTCCAAAAGAGAGGTCCACTTGGCAAAAATAAAAAATATGGATCCCCTAAATTGGTCTTAAGAATCTGTGACCAAATTTTGTTGCATAAATTTCGGGACACCCTGTATATGACATGTATATATCGTAATCAGAAAAATAGGAGAATTCCAAAAAACAACCAACAACAAGGGTGTTTGTTTGAGACTACAAAAATATTTCCTAAAACTTCAGTCTATTCTATTTTCCCATAATAGACAGTAGGGAAAGATAAGATGGGTAGAATGTTATGTGAATACCCCTGTTCATTTGTTGAATATAGTTGTTATATTTTTACAGACTGTCCTAGGAAGACCTTTAGAAGAGGACAATAGAAAACTGGAAGGAAAAGTTCTCGTGTTTAAAAATACAAGAAGAGTCATTAAATTTCCAAATGCACTTCAAGGAAATTCTGATAATTTTCCGATAGAAGTACCCGGGTTGCCATCAATGGCAATTACTTTCAACCCAACTGACCAGAAACTCTTGTTCTCAAAAAACTACATCCCATATTCTATACGTGCACTTGAAAATAATCAAGTTTTGTTTGAAGAAACACACTTAACTAAAAGCACTCCATTTTCTGATCATATATATGACTGCCCTAAGTTAAAATATGGGCAAAAAACGTTGCATTACATTTTGCAAACGTATTTTGGATTTTATGATACAGACAATATTCTGTCAAGATGCCTTGAAGTCCATAATTACCAGGCTGCTGCAAAAATCGCTATGCTTGATGGCCATTTTAGTGATAGTCTAGGTTTTCAGTTAATTGCTTTTAAGAAGCATATTGACACATTAAATTTAAACCTAAATTCTGCTTGTGTCAAAAAAAGCTTTTCAGAATTAAAAGAAAAGGATGAAGGGTATGTTGAACTTATCGTCAGAAATATACAAGATGATTTAAATGAAAAAAATTTAATACATTCTAATTCTGGAGATAAAATGTGCAACTCTCCAGCACACCTATTAAGTTCTAGTTCTTCTCTTGATAGTATACGACAATGGGGTGATGATATAGAGCACCAAGGAGGCTGTGAAAGTCCATGTGAAATGTCAGATATGGGTGATATTCGTCAAAATATAACCCAGTATGTGCAATCTTTGAAAAATAACGAAAACTCCCCACCTATTTTAAGTGTTTCTAAAATGATATCTGACATTGATAATGATGAAACAACAAAGATAAAGGATGAAAATGTGCATTTACAAATCAAAGATAAATCTGCCAAAGAAGTAATTGACGCAGCATCATCTGTGATTGAGTTTTATATTAAGAAAATTTACGTTTCTGAGAATCATATTTTAATGCAGAATGTCTTATTGAAATGTATTGAATTTTGGTTATCTAACAATCTCCCAGTTCCTGTATTAGAAAACGTATTGCTTAAAAATATGGATAAATATTTTTACCCACTTTCTATTCTATTATTTTGTAAAAATTTCGGAAATAACCTTGACGATGAATTAATTAAGGATGATTCCAACATGAAACCCACTTCTTCTGGTTTTCTAAAGGAATTTTCAACCAAGTTTTGCCTTCAGCTTTGTTCCATGGTATTGGAAAATGTTAACAAATCATAACATTATTTTTGTAGTTGTGAGCAGAATTTTTCCTTTGTGTTGTAATACCTTGCTTTTCATTTGCTAGTCGATAATAAATAGATCTCGTTTTTTTATATATTTTTTTATAGTTGCATTTATTTTTAATTTTAATTTTAAGTTTTGACTGCAGCATAAATATAACCAATAGGGAAGTCATAGGTATGTTAACATTTTTGTGTCTCTAGTTACAATTCACATCTCTATGAATGACTAAAAAATAAACTTATAATCTTTGATCCCTAGTGCAATATCATTGGCCTAATTACAAACATATTCTATTTTATTTGTTGTGATATTGACATAAATGCACATATTTATTGTTTTAGTAGGTTTCAGATAAAATAATTTATGAATATTCTAATTGCTGAGATAGACCGAGAGCCAAAGACAAAAAAATTGTTTGAATTTACTAAGCCTAGTTTTTTTATTGTTGATTACAGTAGTTGTGTACACAAGCATACTGTGGTCAGTCAAGCGAAACTGAGAATAGGTGTCTCAGGTACACTATCAAATGAATTTACTAAGGCTGAAAATGATTAAACAAATTCTATATTGCATATATATATAAATAATAAGCTCTGTCCCCACATTCAGTCAGCTGAATGTGGGGACAGAGCTAGTCAATCAGCCTCAAAGTATGTATGTACAAAAAATAAATAATGTGGAATTCGTTTACTATACTCCAAAACTTTTGTGCGGGTATTAATTGTTATATTAACCATAAACAAAATGGTCAGTCAACGATTTTGTGGGACAACGACGTTCAGTCAGCGAAAAAGAAATAAAAATTTTGGATCATCGGCGTTGCGTTTTCGCTAACTGACAGGCGTTGTCCCACAAAATTGTTGATTGACCATTTTGTTTATAGTTAATATAACAATTAATACCAGCACAAAATTTTGGAGTATAGTAAACAAATTGCACCTTTTTTATTTTTTGTACATACATTCCCACATTTAGCTGACTGATATAACTTTTATTTATATACAATATAGAATTTATATAACGTTTTTCTGCCTTAGTAAATTCATTTGCTGCTCAAATGTAGGTTAAAAAAAACTGTCTTGAGTGTGATACTGCTGTTTTTTATTAATGCAATACACGGCCAACTAGTACTCATTCTGAAGATGTATCGAATTTGATGAAACTTGGTGGTAAGATGTTTTAAGGGATGCTGAATGAGAATACCTAATCTGTTTTTTGGAAAAAAAAAAATCGCTAATACCAATTAGCTGTTTTGACATCAAAAAAACGTGTCCTAGTTGGCTGTCAATTGCATTAATAAAAACAGCTGCATTACAGTAAGATAGTTTTTTATCCTACATTCTAAAAAAAAAAATTGAAATTGGTCAAAAAACAAAAAAGCGCAACGCCCTGTACCTGAGACACCTGTTCTCAGTTTTGCTTGACTGACCACATTATGTTTGTGTTCACAATTACTGTAAACAACTAAAAAAAAACTAGGCTTAGTAAATTCAAACAATTTTTTTGCGACTGACTCTTGGACTATTCGATGCTTAAAAATTTGTATACATTTTAGATATGAGGTTATGAATTGAAAAAGACAATGTGAATACCACTTATACATAATTTTAAGTTATCTTGTCAAGAATAATTGAATAAAAAAAGGAACACTGATATTTTTTTCTATGTATTTCAAGGTCTATTTATCCCCATATTGTCATTCATATAGATATTAATGTATAATAGTCAGATTTTATCTCAATGCACAAATATACATAATCAATAATTATTTAGTGAGTGTTTAACATAAAACTTCTGATATTATAATATAATTTATTGTAAAAGTACAATCGTCACATTTTTCATATTTAAAAAAAAAACTAGAAAATTCAATCGTACATTATATAAAAGGTGATTAATACTATCGTGATTGTATTTCTTGCAAGCTGCAAACAGATTGATGGTAGACCATGTGCAAAAAATTTATATTGTGATTCAACTGATAAAAATTTCAAAAACTGGGTATTAGCGGAGTTACATAAATTTTTTTAAATAAATATCTCGCCATAATTATTTCCATGGAGAAATTTCTTTCAAATTCAGTACTCTTTTTATTCATAACAAAAACACCTACAAAAAAAGTTCTTAAATTGCTATTGCCATAAAAAGTGTAAGGGATAACGTCACTCTAGAGCAGGGGTCGGCAACTGGCGGACCGCGGTCCAGGTCCGGACCGCGGAAGGTAAAATACTGGACCGCCAAAAATTTTTTGAAAGTATAAAATTATTTAAATAAATTATTTAAAAAATGTTTTTTTATGTTTGAGTGCCAACCTTATAATTTTTTCTAGTATTTTACAATTGTGTGAGTGTTTTGAGTTCTTAATGGTTAGTAAGCAGATAAAATTTGAGTCCAAATTAAAATAAAAAATTTGTAAGAAATATGAATTTTTTTTCTGGACCTCGTTAAAAATTTTCAAACGTATCCGGACCCCATCTAAAATTACTTGCCAACCCTTGCGCTAGAAGTTGGAAAAAAAGACGATTTTCGGAAATTTTCATGAAAAAATTGATACAAGATATAGTGTTAGGAACAAAAAGGCTTTATTATACGTTTTCTAGTAACATTGTGAATATTTTGAAAAAATTTGATTCAAAATGGCGGCTGTAGATCATCGAAAGCAATGTCACCTTTTATTCAGGGGGCTGTATGACCGGAAACGTTTCTTATTAACAGTTGCTCTTGGAAAAAAACGAAAATTTTCTGATATAGGTATACTAAAAACTAGGGAACATCATAGTGAAATTAAAAAATAATAACTGTTGACTTAGTGAACATTCAAATAAAATTATCAAGAAAAAAAACTGGATTGAATAATGAAAACTGTTAATCAATTGAAAAACCCCTATGATGTTCCCTAAATTATGTTATTGTGTACAAAATTTCAAGTCGATTCATTGAAAACTTTTTTAGTTATGTTTCTGGTCAGTTAAAAAAATAGTTTCTCGAAAAATACTTTTAAAGTTTTTGTTGCCATTCAGCATAAGAAATTCACAATCATCATCATCATATAATTGGCCTATATTGATATTGTCATCTTTTTTTCGGCTTGATCAATTTGGCCTCATCTATATCACACTAATAACAGATTTTGCAATCAGAACAACTGAAAAACGTAAATTGTGCAGGGTCTTTATTGATTAGAAAATTGACCATAACTTATTTTCTTGAATTTTTTCAGAGTACCTAAACTAGTACATATAAGAAAATTGTAGAAAAAGGTTGTTCCAAACCTTTTTTTATTTATATAATACTTTGCGACCATTCATATATCGATAAACTATTTTTATTACTTATGTTAAACTTCACAATTTTTTAAATTAATTAATGTAAGTAAAGGCAGTTTGACAGATTTTCATATTTACAATAATTATATAAAACATCATTTTTGTTCATGATCAAGTCCTGCTTCATTTGTTCCTGCTTTATTTATTGTTTTTTTTTCCTAAAAAATGGTTAATGTTGCTGACTAGAAGCAAAAAGACGTTTTTGTAAGATGATATTTCTTAATGATTTTTAATGTCGAGTCATTTAATTTTTTGAAAAACTGCAAATAAGAGTTAAGTACCTGTGATGAATTATCTAGTTGAGAAGGCCCATTTTTATTATAAGTGTAGTTTTTTATCAGTAATAAACGACTCAAGTTTAAAAAAAATAATAGTCCACTGATAAAGTTATAGCAAAACATTAAAAAAAGAAGCCTTAAGGTTATGTAACTCCTTTAAAGATAATGAAGCTTACCAGCAATTAGGCCATGCTTGGCCCTTTTTGCCTGCTAACTTACGCTACCCTCCACCTTAACAATTACAAACATCCATGGTACGACAGGAAAATTCCTTCGAATTTTCCTGCCGCGTGCGGGATTCGAACCCACTACGGTTTTGCCGCATAGCCCTGGCTCGCCTCTGTAGGCAAGCCTTGGCCGCCTCGGCTACCGCCGTGCCTATGTAACTCCTTTAGTATTAAGCTTTTGAATATGTCGTAAGAACCTGTATCATTTTCATTAGTAGAATTAATTTAGTTCTCAGTTTTTGAACACCTTGTATATGTATGTGTAATGAGAAACTTGCGTTACTTTTACAAAAAAAAAGTTAAATTTTTGACAAATTAATGATATCAAAATAATTATTAAACTAATGCCAACTGCTTAGAATATAAAAGCAGCTTTAGAAATTTGAAATAAACATTTTATTTCAGTTTTTCCATATTTTGCAATGCTATTTAATGTATACATATAAAATTGTGGAAAAAGGTTACCTATTTAAAAAAAAATTTTTCGAATTACCAGAAGTTTTCTGTGGAACACCATAAATCATTTTATTTTAAAAAAAAGGTGGGTATTAACAACTATAAAATTTGATGCAATTAAGAACTATTTTTATAAATGAACTATTTCCTTTCCTCTAAAGTTTAATATCTTGTTATGAAAGAGATCGCAAATAGAGTTTAAGTAAATCCATAGAATAGTGTGTTAAATCCAATAGGGAAAAATAGCCCTCTATTGATGTTCTAGTATAAATCACATTTAGGAAATAATAATTGGCAGTAGTTGCATAATATGAACTGAATACAAAATTGTATTGAAATAGTTCTAATGGAATAAATTAGGAAATTTTGGACTAAAATTGGTTAAGTATCTTCAACACTACCTGGCACAAACTTTCACCAACATTCAAAAAATTTTTTTTCATTTTTGTATATATATTCCATTTTGTTATTTATTCAGACATTAAAAAAATATATGCAGCTATAAAGTGCCATGTTTAATTTTAAAAGTAAAAAAGTAGTTATAACTTCTTTTAAAGACTTTTTTTGAGTTGTACCTGTTTTATTACATTTTTGTTACGTTATGTATTGGGATAATTGTATTTTTAAAAATAAAATTGAATTTACTTGAAATGTTTATTTTTGCAAAAAAATTTTTATTTAGTCATTAAAAGAAAACAATCAGTCACAAGCAAATCTAACCTGTATTTTTTGTAATGTTATGATTACATATTATTCATATTTTAATATTCCCCAGATTACTTATACAAGTTAGTTTTGCTTTTAAATAGAAAAAAAAATATATGATTACATTGAAAAATCTAGTTCGGAGTCGTCGAGGTATGGCAAGTCGATATCTATAACTTCATTGGCAGGTTCCTCCTCAAGCTGAAAATCAGGCATTTCTATATGTGGTAGTTCAAAAAATATTGGATTAATTTCTATTGGTGCAGGTTCTGGTGAAGGAGGTGGTGTATCTTCTACATTACAATAGTTGCGAAGAATTTGAATAAGGTCATCTGAGCTGAGACGCGACTTTGGCCAAATGTCTTCATAGGACTCTGTTTAATAAACATAGTACATTAACTTATTTGTCAAACAACCTTATATACATTGCATCAGACAACTATTTTTCACAAACAGCATTGAGATAATCATTTAAACCGAGTTTCCTCATATTATAGATTTTTATAAATTTTGTATACAAATGAAAAGCAAAAATCAAGCCAATTTCAAATAATTAAGAAATACCAATAATTTCAGTTTTTAAAGACTATCAAAAATTGATTAAAAAAATTTGTCATTGCACACATTTTGTTTCAATATTCCCGAGAATATTCCTTTGTTTTATAAAATATTTCAACTGTTATCTATATGTCGTAGGTATGTTCTCCTTGTCAAGATCCTTTTTCGGTCCCTCCTGTATTCTATCAATGCTTTTCCCGAGGGATTGATAAAAAATATATCTTACTAAAATCATCATCAAATGAAATTGTATGCTAAAGAAATAATCCATAGGTTAGGCCAGGATCAAATAGAATTATATAAAACAAAAATAAAAAATCAAATTCTAACGCATACCCTACCTACTGGACGAGATTATTAAATTCACATAAAATATATATATATATATATTTTTAATAGAGATAACTGGAGAAAGCCCAAAGACCATTCAACTGAAATAGATCACATTTTAAAGATTGCTTTTTGAACTTTTTGAAAAATGAAATCAGTGGATATATAAATATTAATAGTAACTAGTTATAATATTATATAAAATACATTTTCAGAGAAAATTAAATTTTGAAATGACAATATTATCTTGGCTTAATTGTATGTTGATCTTTGTCTAAAATGTGATGTTTAGCTGTTAGAATCAAGACTACAACACTTTCTTTTGAAATTTTAAAATATTTTTCAATATTTGTTAATCATTATTCATTATTTTTTTATAATTATTAATGATTAACTTATCTAAGAAATTACTTCTTTATCATAGTATTACTGCACTGGTTATCCGACCATTACTGGCTCTATTAGTTTTTTGGTTACACATTTTGATTTTGGCTATTTTTTGTTGTGATTTTTGAAATATTTTTTGTGATAGAATCTGAAAATGTTTAGTTCCTTTTTTACGTTATAAAGTTTTTTTTTATCTACACTTTTATTTTAAGTTACCAAATATAAAACCATTTATATACTATAAAAAAACAATATATTATAAATATAAACAACTTTTATAACTAATAAACTATTTTTATTTTAAAACCGTTTTGCTGCAAATTCTAAGAATATTTTTAGCCCCCCCAACTTTACATTCTGGTTATGCCACTGCTACCATGTCCCCCTTCATAGTTCTATTCATATTTATGTTTGATTTAAAGTCGTTCAGCTGCACAAACATCTGTAGTGACAGTCAAGTTCCACTTATACTGGGAGTCCCAGAATATGTGTGCAATTAAAAAAACTAATATTCAGGAGTATCCTTTAAGGACCTGTATCTCCGTAGGGGTCCTCTAGGGAAAATTTTTATAGAAACTTGTTATGTTATTTTAACGTCCCATGTGCCCACATATTCTAGGACAACCAGTATGTGACAAAAACTGTTCAAAATTTGAAGTGAATTATTCTTCAATAGGTTTGATTTTTATCGTTAACGTCTAGTATTATCATTATTTGACTTTTAAACTAAATATTGTTCTTCAATAAGTTTGATTTTTATCGTTAACGTCTAGTATTATCATTATTTGACTTTTAAACTAAATATTGAAAATATTTTTTTAAAATCGAGTGGTAGAGAAATAGGTAGTAGAGAAATGTGCAAGACCAGATTTCAACCAGCTCGTTTAGAATCGGGCAACCAGCTTCAAATTTCCCTTTCTTTTTATTTAATTATGGTCAGGTATCTTTCGTTTATTTGAAAGCCCAGTAGTACAAGTTCCAGTTTTTGGTCACTTTATACAAATTCCTTCTTTTAATTTTTAACCAAATGGTTGAAAAATAAACACTTTTTCGACCAACTGATTTTATATGGATTTTCAATAATTCATTTAGGTAGTAGGCATTCGTTTTTAATTTATTGAAATGTATACTTTTGGTTGAGGAATATCTCCTAAAAACTAATCAAAATAATGGCAACAGTTACGAAAAATAAACAGAAATGGCGTTCATTTATGCATTCCAGATATTCTCCAAAAAAAAAAAAAACTTTTGTAATTTAATATTTAACCTTTAATTCTGGCTGAACAATTATTTTCAGTTTAAGATTATTTAATGCAATAGGTACCTAAGTAATCGAAAGCAAATATATATGATTGAAGTCAAGCATCAGTTGATTGAAAATAGATAAAAAATCAGTTTCCAATTATTTTTTCTTGTAAAAAAGAGATCAAAAAAACAATATTTTTGTATTTAGTGATTAATAGTGTATTAATTTAGACTGGAGCAAGTTAAAATAAAAATAATCTATAATAACTACAGCTACAACTACAGATTGATATTTATTTTATAATAGAGAGTATCATGATTTAATTTTGTGAATTTTAGGCAAATATTTGGAATGAATTTCAATGAGCTTAATACATTTAAATTTTAACTTGTAATTCTAATGGTTGGTTTATAAAAAAGTATTAGTCCTAACTTAGCCGTAACTTAACCTTAATCTTAGTCCTAAAAAGTTAAACGTACAGAATGTAATGTATCGGTTTATAAAAATCTTAACCTTGCCCTAGTCCTAAGGAGGTCTTAAGACATGACCTTGAAAGTTCGCATCTTTTAATTTTTCTAGGATTAAGACTAAGATCTGAGAAATGCGCATGCACAAGTATTGCATTTCGTAGCATAGTGGTCTCCTGTCTTTGCCTATGGTGGTCGCCATTACCATAGTAATAGGTTATATTTTTCTTTTCACTCACCAACAAAACAAATAAAATAACATTACCACAGAATTATAAACAAGTATTATCCTGTGATATTACTAGCCATGCGCGTAGTCGAATCGCTCATTGGTTAATCTTAATAAAATTAAGACCACACATCGTTTTTATAAACGTGTACCTATTCTTAGGACTAATACTAAGATTAGTGTAAAGGTTAATACTAAGACTAAGACTAAGTTAGGACTAATACTTTTTTATAAACCAACCATAAGCCTACACAAAAATTAGTTTAAACAGTTTGCTTACCTTTGACGTCCTTAAAAGAATATGTAAATTCTTCTGCACTGAGATCGTTGTTTAGTATAGGAGATAACTTTGGCTTTTCTACAGTAGTGCCCTTAATATTTAACTTGGATTTTTGCAGCTTTCCAGTGTCAGGTGTTTTGCTGTTCACAGATCTATCTATGAAAGGTTTTCTGACTAAAACGTTTCCAGGTTTTCTTACCATTGCACTCTCAGCATCTAAAACAATTGTGTTAAAAATCATATTTATTAATGCAATTTTAATTTACTTTCTGATGAATATAATCGAATGGAAGGAGAATGAAACATCGTAGAATATCTACATATACAAATTTCAATTTAATATATGTTAAACTTCGGTTACACTTCACTATCAAGCACACTTTTTATAAAAAGTAGTAAAAAAGTTTTAACGGTCAAACCAAAGGTTCCCCCAAAATTTTTATATTTGTTTTTTCT